TCTCCGTGGGGCGGTGGGAGTGGCGGGGGCTGCTGCTCGTTGGCGGCCTCGTCGCTGTCATTCTCCTCGCCCTCACCGGCGGGTGGCGGCTGCAGCTGGTCTCCGTGGGGCGGTGGTCGTTGTCAAAGGCCACACTCAATATAAAATGTCGGCAGCGATTGACGACCTGCACATTGGCAGACAGAGACACAGTGAGGGCGTGTGGCCGTGAGACATGATGTTACCAAAGGTTTTCTTACCCTCAGAACTGATCTTGCCACACGCCGACACACAGAAGAGCACTAACTTGTTGGTGTCTGCGTCTCCCTCAGCAGCAGGCCCGAAGCGAGCATGGCATCGAAACAAGAGATCCCGGGATGTAAAATGTAGTCAGCGATCGATCTGTCGACCTGCACACCGAGACACACAATCAACATCCTCGCTGGCCTTTCAGCTGACCCCATGCCGTACCCCGGTTCAGCTCCTGACGAGAGAGAGAACGACAGACTGTCTGACGTCTGTCGCGTACTCGCTAAACGAGCACTCCTAGGATGAGAGAATGACGCCCGGTAGGATCTTGGCGACCGCCGCGTCCTTCTGCTGCTTGGCCATGCCCTTCAGATGGTTCTTTATCCCACCCTCCAGGTCCCCGGCCAACTTGTACCCGGCTGCCGACTGGCGGATGGCGGTCCGCTCAGCCTCCGTCAACGGCTGCAATCAGACAGGAACAACATACACAATGTGTGATTGCCCTCCTTTGCGTTGCGTCGCTACGGAAGACCCACCAGGTCCCTCCCCTCGCTCGATGCCTCCTCCGCAGTCATCAAGTCATCGCTCTCGCCCACCGCAGCACCACGGCAGGCTCTCCCCCGTCCGCATTTGCAGCAGCAGCAGCAGCCCCATGGCCCGTCATACTTGCCATCTTCGCAGCACCATGTCGATTTCGTTGTTCATCTTCTGCCGCTCCTCAGCCATCTGCTACCCGTCTCCAGTGCCTGTTGGCCACGCGAATGAGCAGGGAATTGCCGTCCCATCAGGGAAGACCCAATCGCCGGTCAGCATGTTGATTGATGGGATGGTTATCACACGCTGCCCGCCACTGATGGTTGTGGAAGAAATCTTGACCTTCACAGGAAGGGCAGGTATTCTTCCCAGGAAGGCGGAGGGGGCAGCGACGAGGCGGCGTGCAGATGAACACGGGCCGATGTCTTGTTGCGGAGCTGCAGCAGACGGCGTGGCGACTTGATGTCTCTGGCGTTTTGGGTAACCAGTGCGCGGGGTTCCTTCCTCCGGTGCGCTTGGGCTTGAAGACCTTGAGGAGAGAATCTTCCTCCCAGCAACTGCGGTGGCGGTCTGTCGACTGTCGCTGGTGCACGCGGCAATCCTTGACAAACACACGGCCCTTGTGGCCGCGATACGCGCACTGGATCAGGATGACCTGAGAACGCATCCTGTGCCACCACGACACACACACACACACACACGGGTGTGCTGCAATGCTTGATCGTGTCGTGTGTCGTGTGTAGGGGTGTGGACCGTCGTCGTTTCCTTGAGGTCGTCATCCTTGAGGGTGCCGCCGGGCCACCCACAGATGGCGCACTGTGGGATGAGGCGGGTCGTCTTCTCCGTCTCGCAGCGACGGCAGTACCACTTCGGCTTGTTGTCCCGCCTGGCTGCCTCAACGACCTCCCATTGGGTATTTGCCGGTTGAACTGGTGGATTGATGACACCACACAGATACACACAGACAGACACACTCACATAGAGGGAGAGACGGGCAAGATGTCTGCCTGTCGATGCGTTAGTTCCTGCCTCCCCTCCATCCCTCCCTTCCGCCTTCACTCACCTGCGCAGCACTTCTTGTGAACAGTAACAGAACATCTCTGGCATTCCTTGATTTCGTTCAGGCTGTCCCCTCCAGAACCAAAGCACACGCTGCACACAAGACACACACACACACACACCTGGATGCACTCCCCCTTCAATGAACCCACCCCCTCCCTCTCACCCACCTGCAGAATTGTTGCTGCTCCTCCTCTTGCTTCTCCTTCTGAGCCTTGTTGACCTTCGTCTCGCCAGACCCACCGGCAGCAGGCTTGTTGTGCCCACAGACACCCGCACCACCACCGGCGGCAGCTGCTAGGGCTGATGATGACGCCGCGGCCGCACCGTCATCATGGTGGCCACTGGCCATGTCCGCGTGTCTCCGCCACAACGTCAATGAACGAGTTCTCTTCCCACCCACACACGGCTTCTTCATTGCGTCAAGGTCCGATTTCTGCGAAACTGGTGATGACATTCATGACATTCATTTCTCGTGTCTTTGCGTGTGCATTGCCTTCTCACTTCCATAGCACTTCTTCTGGACCGAAAGAGTTTCGCTTGCCCTCGTTGAGCTCCAAAAAGTACACAACGCGGGCAGGGCTGAAAAGGAAGGAAGCAGAATGATATGCCGTCAGTTCTCTCACGTGTCTCTTGTCCCCTTCCCTTAGCGTCAACGAATGCACGAGGTGTGCGCGCTGGCAAAGGTCGGTCAAGTCTGATGTCAAGTCAACGAAGCACTTCTTTCATCATGATCCTGTGTGCCCAGCACATGTACCTGAGAGATGGTCCTCGTGGCGAGCAGCTCATTTGGCGCCATCATGATGCTGGTCCATATTAAGGGGCCTGCCTGCATCTGAAGGAGCGCCCCGAGCAGGCACACAGGCAGGCAGGCAGACAGACAGGCAGAGACAGACACACAAAGAGAAGTGGAAGAGATATGATGACCAGAACTGAACATGTGTGTAATCCTCTTTCGTCGTCTGTCTTCACGTGTACCTGCGCGGAAGGTAATAATCTTGTCACACACAATGCGCTATGAAGGAATTCCGTCTGGCTGCGGCTGCAACAAACGACAAAGGCCTCAGAAACAACAAACAAGAGCTAGCTACACAAACAAACATACACACACATACAACCACACGGCTGGCGGTCTCTATTCAGTACATCCTCTATAATCTATTCATTTTATGTGCGTGCGTGTGTCTGTGGAGGGGCGGAGGAGTTAATTAGCTGGATTGATGAATTTGACAACAAAGAGCGAATTAAGGAGGGGAGAAGGGAGAAGGCCGTCGGTGGTGGGGTGTTTGTTGCTGTATGTATTGCCGTGGCGTCGATGCGCGTCCACAAGTCGAAGCCGGGTCTCGTTACCATTTCTTTGAAGCGTAGAAGCCCATGAGGCGGGCGATGAGGCCATGAGGCGGGCGATGAGGGAGGCGATGGGCGTCGATCGAGAGCGAGAAAGGAGGAGGAGGAGGAGGGGGAGAGTTTGAGCGCTTGTCCCTTCTTTCTTGAGAGAGAGTCTGAAGATGGGGGGGAACTGCCGCGGACGCGCCTTGTCATCGACGCCGGCGCTACACACAGAATGTGCTCAACTTTCCTCGTTTGTTTGTTTCTTCCGCTCACCGGCTTTCTGTTCCTTTTCCTGTAGTCGAAAGGAGTTGTCTGTGCTGCAGCAAAAGCTAAATCAGAGTGAATACTGGTTCGTTAGCGTACACTGATCCCCTGATTCACTGAATGCTTCACCCACCTTTTGAGGACTCCGCCGAGAAAAGGAGACGGCAACCAGGGAAACACGCCAAATTATTTCATCTGCAGACAAACATGCCAACAGGGTACACAGCAATGAAGCGGACAACCTAATAATCCTTGAATATCATTCACACACCATACCGACACCGCAACCAACAAAAAGAGATATGACACGTGTGCCCACCTGACAGGATGTTTAACGTTTGAAGACAGAAGAAGGCGTCCGCGCACTCAGCTGACGCCAGAGAGATGTCAGGCGGTCGCCACCCATTCAGCAGAAGAAAGGGCGCCACCGGCTGAGGCACTCGCGGCACGGCGGTAGAGGAAGGAAGGGGCAGACGACATTCGGCCAAGTCGTGAGGGGCAGGAGGGAATGGGGCGGACCGCGCAAGCCAACGACCACTCACCAAGAGAGGAGGGAGGCTCAGGCTGATGTCATCGTCTGACGGGCGGGCGGGTCAGGGGCGGTCAGGTGGACTCGTCCTCTTCGCAAACGGCGAGCAGGGGGGGCTGGGTGGGCCTCGGGCGGGTGGCGCCCGACCTCTCCCGCCGAAAAATGAAAGGAAACGAAGGAGATGTGAGGCGAACAGTGAGAAATGAGGAGAGCGGCTCGAGAACTGTTTGATATCCCTTGTTCGATAAATTCCGTCTCAGAGACGGCTATGATCTGAATTCTCGCCGCGATTCTCGCCGCAAGCGCAAAAGCTCGCAAAATCGTGGCCTGCCTAGGACCGGCTCCCCAGGGGAGAAACTTATCTAGGAGTAAAGGAAAGAAGAACTTGAAGATCTGGTCTGCCATCGTGAGTGCATCTCTCCCTGTGCAGCGGCCCCTTGCCTAACTCATCCATGCTGCCTGTTGCGGCAGCTGCCGAGCTCCTCACATTCACCGGGCCGCCTTTGCGTCTTCAGCACTCTCTCAGCCGCCGTCACAGTCACAGGCTGCCTGCCCATGCGCATCTCTTCGCCGCTGCCTCTGATGAGCCGATTGGCCCTCCTGTCTGCATCGTCGACACGGACACGTCAGGCAAGCAGTCCGCCCGGGAGATCTCAGAGCGGTGCGGCATTCCCCTGGCGACGGCTGACCAGTCAGAGTGCTCGTTTCTGCTGGAGTATCGGTCGTCCGACGGGCATCTGACGTTGAGGAGAAGAGGGGACTCTGTCAGATCTGCGTTGAGTGTGGACTATGTGGGCGGGCGGCTGGGCAGGCGGCTGGTGGGCGTGTCGAGGGGGCAGGGACCGAGGGAGATGGTGGCAAAAGCCGTCACGTCAGCCAAGGTGAAGGCTCCGTGTGTGTGGGATATGACGGCAGGTGAGGAACACGAACACTGCAAGGCGTGTGATGTGATGGTTGTCATGGGGTCCTGTAGGGCTGGGTCGTGATGCTGCTGTGTTGGCTGCCGCTGGCTGCACCGTGCGCATGTTGGAAAGACATCCTGGACTCGCTGCATTGCTCGAAGGTCGGTCACACATGCACATACATAGCGGGCATGACTCTGACCCCTGTTTGGTTGGCTCCTCCTTCAGATGGTGTGCAGCGGTTGCATCGTCACACTGACGCGAACACCCGCCCAGCAGCCGATAGCCAGGGCATCTTCCTTGACGGTACTCCTTCAGCCGCCCTTGTCCCTGGACCGGGGTTCAGCAAGCGGCTGTTGGGCTGCCACTGTATGGACAGCTCGGGGCTGATTAAGCCTGGTGATCTGCAGCGAGATGTGCCGTCTTGGATGACGGACGAGCGGCCGGACGTGTGCTACCTGGACCCAATGTTCCCGCCACGGACAAAATCAGCCGAGGTACATCGACAGGACAAGACACCACACCAGACATAGGCATGCTCTACTTGACTCTGTGTGCGTCAGGTGCGAAAGGATCTTCGTCTGCTGCAAGACCTCCTCGGGCACTCGGACACGGACGCCGACCACGAGATGCTTTTCCGCACGGCGCTGCGCCTGTGTCGGTGGCGTGTGGTGGTGAAGCGGCCTGCCTCTGGTCCACCACTGCTGGGTGTGCAGCCGTCCATGTCTGTGAGAGGCAGAGATACCATCAACCGTTTCGATGTGTACCTGAAAGATGAGTTCGCGACGTGGGCTGATGGGTGACAAGTCTGTCGGTTGGAGGGCGTTGGATCCTGCGAGTGCTTGTCGATAGTTCTGTGGTTCTGACGTTTGGTTGGATCTTGCCATGAGCATTGAAGTTTGAAGCTGACGCTTTTCGCTCGACGGAAGCGGCTCTGTCGGTGAGGTGCCTGTGCTTGAAGCCTCGGTGCTCAGGTTACTGCTGACCCTTGCTTGTTGCACTTTGCTGGATCTCTTGCGGCACCCCGCGACACATACATGCAGCCATTCATTCTGCAACAGTCAGCAACACGCGAAAGTCTCAACACACACCACCAGTCACATCACCGTCAGTCAGTCGCGTCCATCCACCCCCCTTGGTCGCAGCAACAGCGGCAAATCAGCCCCTGCTGCGTGCGTGCGTCTTGCTTCCACGCGTCCGTCCCCCGCCGTGCTCAGACGTCGGCGATGGTGACCTCGACCTCCACCCCAGGCTCGATAGAGATGGAGGTGATCTGCTTCACCACGTCGGAGGGCGAGTGCAGGTCAATCAGCCGCTTGTGGATACGCATCTCGAAACGGTCCCACGTGTTGGTGCCTGCACACACGACACACCGTTGTGCTGATCTGCCTCTGCCTGTCTCGTGTCGCTCCCTCCCTCCCAGCTCACCCTCTCCGCATGGTGACTTGCGCGTGGTGATTCTGAGGGTCTTGGTGGGCAGCCTCACGGGTCCCTTCACCTGGAGGTTCTTCTCCTTAGCGCCGCTGATCAAATCGCTGCACACTGAACACACACAGACACCCACGACAACCGCAGACACTCACCCCACGTTGGCAGACGGCCTTGGCGGCGGTGTTTTCCCCCTCTCTTCCCCTCTTGGTGGTGTGTGTATACCTTTCTCGAGCGATTTGACGTTCTTGCTGGTGAGGGTGATGCGGATCTTGTGCATCCGCGTTTCGTCCCCTCCCTCGCCCATCCCGGCCTTGCCGGCCGCCACTGGCTTCATCGCTGTCGCCGTAGCCATGCTGGGCACCACGCAACAGCCAAGACAAGTCCTCACAAGCGCTTTCACGTTCTGACAATTGCGAGCTTGATAGTTAGCTTGATCGCAGCTGCGAGCTTTTGGCGAGCAGCGAAATCACTTTTTTGACGCGTTTCTGACGTCCATCCTGCCTTTCCAGCCTTCTTGTCGCATCTGCATCGAAGATCTGCTGAATTGGCGTCAATTATGCAGTGAGGACTTCGCGTGCCTTCATGGCATCGGCCTCCAGCCAGTCGGGCAGGCGCCCTGTGAAGGTGGCTGTCGTCCAGGCAGGCACGTACATGTTCAACACGCCCAAGACGATAGACACGCTGGAGCGGCTGACGGCAGATGCCAGGCAGCAGGGCGCATGTATTGTGGTCTTCCCGGAGGCATTCGTGGGCGGGTACCCCAAGTTCGCTGTAAGCACCAGAAAAAGACAGAGAATATGGCGAGGCCACTTACCCACCAGGTGATATCCCTCTGCTGTGATCCCTCTGGTAGGACTTCGGTGTTCGTGTGGGCTCCCGATCTGAGCAGGGACGAGACCTCTATCGATCATACCACGACGCTGCAATCACCGTGCCGTCAGCAGAGACCGACCGCATCGGATCCGTCGCACGGCAACACGGCATTTATCTTGTTGTTGGTGTCATCGAGAAGGATCAGGGCACCCTCTACTGCGCCGTCCTCACCTTCGCTGACACAGGAGAGCTCCTGGGCACGCACAGGAAGGTCCTGCCCACTGCGGCGGAGAGGTACATCTGGGGGCGAGGCGATGGCAGCACCATGCCTGTGTTCGACACCAATTGCGGCAAGGTGGGGGCTTGCATCTGTTGGGAAAACTACATGCCGCTGATGCGGATGGCCATGTACGCCAAAGGCATAGAGATCTACTGTGCGCCTACGGGTGGGGTGGGATGGGTGGAGGAAGTCCACACACATAGAGAACAGCGGACATGCCCTCTCTGCAATGTGTGTGCCGTCTGCAGTAGACGACCGCGACACATGGCTGAGCACTTGCCGTCACATCGCCGTCGAGGGCCGCTGCTTTGTCCTCACAGCCGTGCAGCACTTCACACGAGACCACTGGCCAGACTGCGACCTCTCCGTGCCGGCGGCAACCGGCTCGTTAAGCGACGATGGATCATCCGAACCCCGCCCTCTGATCCGCGGCGGCAGCGCCATCGTGTCGCCCTTTGGTGAGGTGCTTGCCGGCCCCCTATTCAACAAGGAGGGTGTGCTGGTGGCGGAGATCGATCTCAATGACGTCACCAGGGGCAAACTCGACCTCGATGGTGAGTGAGCTAGAGGGGGGATATAATGGCGCATCATGTGTTTTGATGTGATGTGTGGGTTTTGGTCAGTGAGCGGTCACTACGCGCGGTCCGACATCTTTCAGCTGACTGTCGACGAGCGGCCCAAGGCGTCTGTGACCTTTTTTGCGGCCGACTGAGGCGCAGGCAGCGACTTTTTCTGTTGCTGATGCCGCTTATGGATGTCACTGACACGTGGCTGGGAAGCACTGTGTTTTCTGACCGGTCTTGTCTCTCTGTGTGTTGCCGAGAGGTACACTCACTCTTCACGAACCCTTTACTTGTGCTTCGATCGGTCGTGTTTGGCCGACCCATTTCTGTGTGTCGAGAACGGCTGCTGTGCACTACTATAAGCCGGCAGACGACGTACAGACGACATACATGGCCCTTTTTTTATTGGGTGCGATGCTCTGAGATGCAGAGGTGAACGACTACTGGGCGTACACGATAGGCTCCCCGGCATGACTGATGTGCGTGTAGTACTCGTCTACCGGCCGGTCCATCGGTGGTGACTGCACTGTGGATGATGCACATCCGTACGATTGTGTTCGCGCGTTGTCGAGTGCGGTACGACCAGTAAGTATTTTTTTTATTGTCGTATTTGGTCCGTGGAGGCGCCAACTATGCCTCTTGTGGGGGCCTCTCAGGACCACTTCGACCATAAAGATACACCACCCGACGTACGGGATGGCTGGTCGATGGACATTCGTGTGACTGTGTTTGCAACGTCCACTTAATCGAGAGTCGGGAAGTCTCACTCACACACACACGCACACTCAGCCCCATGCACATACATAAGACACACATCCATCCATCCACCCACACATGACATTTATCAGCAAGGGAATGCAGGCGAGAGGGGGCGAGTCAGAACGGCCATGATTTATCTACACACAGATTGACCCATCACACAGCCGTCCCCTCCCGCCCCCGCTCACCCACCCACCGACAAGCGTCAATTCTATCTGTTCACATACCTCCGGCTGTGCTACCTGCGTGGCAACCCTGTACTCTTCCCTCCTTACTTGCCCTCCTTGCCTATCTCCCGATACCCTCAACCTCCCAGTGCTATCGTGAGAGAGAGAGAGAGAGAGTCAGTCAGATACCCACCCAAAAAACCCATCCATCCTTTCCGTCCGTCAGCCATATACATTGGTGTATCCACACGTTCATGGATGCGTATGCATGACACATACACAGACGAAAACAGAAGAGCAATACTGAAACGAATCAATGCATGAAAACCCTCTGTTGACCGCCGTCAATTCCGTTTCCTCGCGCCTACAGCAAGAACACAGAGGGCGGAGAATCGTGCACCAACCAGTGATATCCGCCTGCGACAGGTCTTTGATGTGTGCAGTGCCTCGCTCGCACCTTCTGCTTCTGTTTTTGGTTCATGCCGCTTGGATGTGCGTCCACTGCCTCCGTTTATTAGCCGAGTCAAGAATCGCCCCATGCTGACACACGCAACACGACCACGCTGAACGTATGAGCGAGCTTTTCTACTGCGTGAGCAGCACGTACCTGTAAGCGCCATCACCGATAGGTGCCTGAGATGCTGTTGGAGCGGAGTAAAGCGACCCTCCTGGAGCAAAGGCTGCACACACAGACACCCACACGCCAGACAATCAGACAACCGGCAACCTCCTTCCTCCCGCATCTCAACCGGCAACTCCCCTCCCCCCTTCCCTCCCGCATCTCACACGTGTGCGCATACCTCCTCTCCCCAGCTTCTTGTCGTCGTTGTACGATACCTGGACGAAGCTCAAGAGGCGCGGCGCTTTT